GCTAGTCTAAAAGTACAGCACATACAATTATGTTAATGTGTAATATTTTATAATGATAATAAATGATTATGTTACTGGTTTATGTATTTACTATACTATACTTTTTATTGTTATTTTAAAGTCTATTCTCTTTTCTTGCCCCCCCCAAAATAATTGCTATAAAACAGTGTATTGTTTACCCCGGTAGCAGCCTCATACATCGTGTGTTTACCACCTCTTCGTTGCATCATTTTCTTTTGTGCTTGATTTAATCTCATGTTGTTTTGTACAATGACATGCTGTATAGGCTTGTAGCCTAGAAGCAATACACCACATTGCCTAGGTGTAGAGTTGGCTATACCACCTAGGTTTGTGTAAACGTGCTCTATGATATTCGCACAATGACAATCGCATAACAAAGCATTTCTCAGATGTATTTCTGTAGTTAAGAGACACATTAGTGTATTCAATACTTCTCTACCTCAGACATTTGCCCTCTTTCTTCCACTTCTGAATGCCACTAAATATATACAGCAATCTCGTCACAGCCACTGCTCTAGAGCACTCCAGCATTATCCGACACACCACATTTGCTCATCTTGTGCCACTAGAATGAAAGCTCAAGAAGGGCAGGCTCTGTCTGTTTTCTTCACTGCTGTATTCAAGAGAAAAGAACTTTCCCAGGCACACAGTGTTATTCAATTATGGATGGATGGCTGGATGGATGCAAGGAAGGATGGAAGGATGGATGGATGGATGACCACTTAAGATCTAAATCCAGGCATGTAATCACAAAGTTTATGCTTTCACCACTAAACAAATTGACTCCTGGAGGTGCCAGGACATGAAAGTCCTTAGGGGTCAAAACAGTTTCAATTCTATTCTGAGAGCAAGAAGTTATTGGGGAGGGGGGTTAAATGGAAGAGTGACACCATTAGATTCAAGCTGAAGACAGATTACTTTGATAGCATTCCTGGAGAATGTTTTGGATGGAGGGTAACCATTTTGGAAGATTTGGAATAACCTAAGCAAAGGAGGCTGGTGGCCTGGAATAGGGTAGTGGCAATAGAGATGGAGAGAGATAAGGACTAATTAGAAAGTTTTTATAAGATGGTTTCATCAGGGCTTGGTGACTGACTGGCTGTGGGATTTAAGTGGAGTAGGGAGTTAAGGATAATTGACATGTTTATGTTACTCAATGCAATAGGTTGGCTTGGAGGATAATTAGTCCGGTGTAGTCATACTAAGTTTAGATGTCTGTTGGACATCCACATGGAGTTATAATAAGACCAGGAATTGAGAGGACTAGCCTAGGGTTTTAGGTTTTGGAGTCACTTACCATATAGGTTATAACTGGAGCTATTGAAGAAGAGATCATCCAAGCAGACCACAAGGATTAGGATTTGAAGAGAATCTAGAATAAAAACATGAAGAAAAATATGCAAAAGGTAGGCAGAGGCAGGAAAGCTTGCAAAGTAGAACAAGAAATGGTCAGCAGATAAAAGCAAAACCTACTGTCGTTTGCCCAGAAAGAACTTACTGGGCAAAGCAGCTTACTGAAGTGCCTAACATATTTTCAAGATGTAGTATGTACCAGGAGACTCTGAATCAAATTACACTTTCATTCAAAAGAGCTAATGTGTAAAACCATCAGAACAGAGTAGATGGACAAACTGGAAAGACATAATGGGCTGATCAATACAATGTCATGCTTGGTATTAAATATGGTGTATGATAAATAAGCACTAACGGACAGCAAGGTGCTGGGAAATGTCTAGTAGAGAAATGACAGAGGAGATAAAAGAAAGAGAAATGAAATCTCATACCAAGGCTAACATCTTATACATATACCCATTCTACCTCAATTTTTCCCCTGCACTTAGTGTTTACTTGTAAAATTGTGCAGTCCTTTGAAATCTCTGGAGTTTGCTCCTCATCACCATTTTGTGGAGGGAAGGGGTTAGTTGGCAAATTTTTATTTGGATTTCACTGCAATGCTGTTGTATACAGAGTTGTGTTGCTCTTTGTTAATTCTTACAATAACGTAGTAATTGAAACACCCAAATCAGCTCATTTCCAATGATTGTCTCAGAGTGTTATGCAAGGTCTCTGGGATTGCTATCTTAACAATTAGAAATGCCAGTTTTCAGTATACTTTTACATAATTCACAAGCTCAGGATACAAGCTGTGATGACTTTTAAAAATATGTCTTGTTTAGTAACAGCTCACATTTATTGAGAGTTTAATATACACTTGGGAATCTTTCAAGGGCTATACATGGAACAACAAATTTAACCTTCACATTTTTATAAAGTAGATATCATTATTATTATTATTATTATTATTATTATTATTATAACTATTGCCATTTTACAAATTAAAATGGCAATAATTTTCAGTGGCAGAGCCAGGAGCACTTGCTTTCTGACTACGGCACACGTGCTAATTTTCCTTTCAGCCACGTTGCCTCCAATATTTCCTAATGTTGCATTCATTTATCAACATTTATTTTTTTGGTGAATCTCACACACTACACCTCACAAAATGACACAGACTGTTATCTCCATAATTTTATATGCTGCAGTATTAATTTTTCTTATGTTGACAGCAGAAGCCAATTCTTTTGTGTTGCTTTTTGAACTGAATAATCATACCAAAATTGAACTCAATAATGAAGCACTTACATATAGATTTTAATATGAAATAAATATAAAATTGTGATCAATATTTAATCTCTTACAAATAATGGACTTATTTCCATTTCCTGGTGAGAAAGCCTCGAGAGATCGCCTCAGCTGACAGAACCGATGGCTGGGAAGGGAACACAGCTAGGCAAGTATTCTCCAAAGTAGTTCCTGAATGTCTAGTCTCTTTGCACTGAAATCACTTAAAAGATTCACAGCACACTGAGTTTACCTTCCTATATTTCCCTCTTGCGACCATGAATTTCAAGTTTTCTGTAATTTCTCACACCTGATTAATGTATTTATTGGACGATGGATATTTCTGACTATAATTTTACTCTTTGATTATCTAGGTATAATTTTAATTTTTAATAGTTTATATTAAAATACATTTAAATATAAATAAAATTCAGTATATATATATATATATATATATATAAATATTTTCCATAAATGAGCTTTAATGTCATGTACATCTGATTAACATGGGTGAAATGCTGTGTATAAAAGGTGAAACAAGAGTTTGGGTGATTAAGCCAGATAGCAAAGTCACTCGTTTGATGTTAATATTGAATAGATCCCTGTAATTCAAATAAATGACAATTGAGCGTGGGGTAAATAAATGAATGAGTTCTGATATTCTCAATTCTATTCTAGACACAGAGATAAATATGTGGAGAGGCTAGAGAAATTTATGTACATTCACAAGAATACATAGTCAATTGTGTCTGTTAATGAGTGTTGCTCAGGGGAATGGACATCAGATGCACATGACCATTTGCAAATAAACTTAGTCCCTTGTCATCTAGTAGTAGTACTGTTGGGGTGCTTGATTCATGAGGTTGGTTAGTTTATTTGTTTTTCAAATTATTATTAATTTTAATTCAGAAAGTAGGTACAGGATGGGCTGGAGGGAGGTGTGGTGTCTGTACTGTCCAGTGTCTTTACTGTGATGTTGAATACAAGAGGAAACACAGGTGAGAAAATTATAAAGAACTCTACACGTCAGTACACACGTACACACACTCACAAATGAGGATAAGGAATACTGGGAGTCTGAATAATATTGCCGGAGAGAATGAATTTCAATCTCCTGGTTGTGCAAAATGTATTTTACAAAATGGGAGAAACTGAACAAACTGTAGAAGGGATCTATCTCTCTGTATTATTTCTTACAACTGCATGTGCGTATATAATTATCTCAGTGAAAATTTCAATAAAATGCAGTTACATAATTTTAAATTCATTAAAGCGAAGTAAAATAAAAACCAAATTTTTTTCAAAACCTACTTTTTATTAATTAAAAATATTTTATGTATTAAACTCGTCTTAAAGACCTCTGTTTACCTTATTAAAACAAACCCTATATTTATATGTCTTAGTTTTGATAACTTTAGTACTATCTTCTAGGGCTTGTCTCACTTTTTTCCTATGTAGATTTATTTGTTGCTTGGGCATATTACTAAAATAGAGTCCAGCTAGGTTTTTATCTACAGTGTCCATGGGAAGATTAATTTTTTTATTGTGAAGCAGCAAATATAATGTTTTGTAGCACCTGAAAATTAAAAAAAGTTTTTACACGAAAAAACCTGCAATTGTTTCTCATCTTGGATGGTAATAGCAATACTAGAGCAATATTGTAAAATAATATGAAGGAGGAGGAGGAGGAGAGGAAGAGGAAGGAGACAAAACATATCATTTATTAATTATTATAAGTAAAAATCTAAATGTTTTGCTTTTATTAACTCATTTTATCCTTATCACAATGTTATCAGTTTGATAGTATAATGACCTCCACTATATGGGTGAGAACACTGAGGCCAAGAGAAATTAAATAATTCTGCCAAGGTCAAATATCTAGTAAGAGTCAAGGCTTGAATTAAAGGCAAGGCCGATTCCTTTTGGCCTTGGGCTATCTTCAATGTATCCAAATTCAATGTAAGTCTCTTCTTCACCTAAGATGAGGCTGCATTAGCTAAGTAATATGTCCAGATACTTAGCTTGAGGCTAGAATATCATCAACAGAACTGATAGCACTGATTATTTCTTATTAATCTTTAGTACTTTAGATGAACTGTCATGACATCTTAGGAATTTTTGTGGTCCATGGGGGAAGGAAGTGAAAAAATAAATAACTATTGCGGCGTTTCCTATAGCAAGCAAGAGAAACAAGCAAATGAACAAAATATCAAACAATAAACAATGATGGTTTCGTATTCAGTTGATTCAACAGTTTTAGAATTATTAATGTGTTAACTACAGTATGGTGCTAAAGAGATCAAATGCACAAGTTTTATTTATTCATTTTCCAAATATTTATTAAGCACTACTATATGCAAAGCAGTATGCTGAAAGCTAGAAGAAATATTTAATATGTAAACTGAAGTCCTTGCCCTCAAGGAGTGCAAAATCTGTGCGGAAAGATAAGAAACGTAGGCAAATACATTCAGTGTGAGACAACATGAGCTGAGATTCAAATAAATGGGGAAAATAAAATATTTTAGTAGATGAGTACAAATGTAATTCAGAAAGGTGTCTCAGTTATGATACTTAACTAGCCTTGACTATAAGGGTAATTTTACTGACTCACAAACTCAAAATTTTACTAGTGGTGGAAGTTGCAGGTAAGACTTGATCCAGCCGCTCTGTGGATCTATCCCAGGGAGCAGTCTTGTTTCCCTCTTCAGTTTTCTTTGGAGTGTGGCAAATTTATTCCAAAGCTAGTTAACCTGGTGGTTGCCAAATAGTTATCAATAACCACAATAAGAGGATGGGAGTGAGAGGAAAAGAGAGTCAGAGAATGATGGATTGATTACATTTTTTTACCCCAAACACCAACTAAAGTCTTGGACTTCCTAATAACCGAACCACCTAGGTTCCTCTACTGACCCTTGGACAATCTCTCTGACCAGGGAAATTCCATGTATTAAGTAGGCTTAGGCCTTGATTCACATGCTTCATCGAACTCTCAAAGTTGATTCTGTCCTTGCTGTTTCCATTTCCCATAGTGAGCCTGTTTTTTCTACTGTGTATTATAAAACTCGGCTTCACTTATCTAAACTCTCCTTGCACAGTTCCATATTTATAATTGTCACCAAAAATATTAAATAAAGTGCAGTTATCATTTTCTAATCTTATTTCATTATCGATTCCCCTTAAGCGAGACTTTTTTTTCTTCAGAAAATACCACAGCATGTATTTAGTCTCTAGTCAAGATTACACCTTTCCTTTCCCTTTTCATATCACTCAATGGGGAAAAGAGAAATTGATTCATGGGTCTTCAGATCCTTAACTCACCATTATTATTCCATTTTTCTTCCTTTGATGTTTAGAACATCCAGATATAACACTTTCTAACCTTTTTGCATTTCCTTCTTTCTTTTCTGCCTCTATCCCTTCCCTCCCAAGAAACACTGACTTTTCCTGTTAGTTTCAGAATTTTAGAACCTTCCTTTCACCATGAAGCCATTGAGTAGGAACATAAAATCCTATTCATTGTATAAACTGCATTATAAGTTGTTTCTTCTATTTCTTTTTAAAACCTCTCACTTGATTTGCTGAGAGTTAAGCAGATAAAAAATGTCATTCTAACGTTTATACCAGATAAAGAAAAGACTTAAGTGCACTGATATAACATGTTGGCCTTCATATATAATCATAAGGTAGGCATACTATCAATAGCACTCAGCTTAGAGCTGAGCAGTGGGGACAGGTAGATGCTAAGCTATCCATCCACAAAGACCCAGAGAGCATGTTCAGGGGAAGACGGGCCTGAAGCTTGGCTGGGAGTGGGACTGAGTTAAACCTGATTCTGGTTTACCTGGATGACAGTCAACATAGTTTAGAGGAAAACTAGGCACGAGGAAGGAAATTCTTCCTGCTTTTGGCCAGGACGCTCACCAGGCACGAAGCTAGGATTACCGTGCTAGCTAGGTCCAATTGTCTAATAGTGGTCCAATAGTGTACTTTTTAGCCCACTGGTGTCACAAGTGGTATAGTATATGCACCCTAAGGCATCAGCAGAAAAATCTCTGGCCTGTCCCAGTTCAGCAATGCCTAGGCTGGGTAAATCTGCTAATTCTGGGGTTCCATTAGCAGGTCCATTTTGCTCTCACATTAAGCTACATCTTCCAACCTAGACTTTTGTAATAAAAAGTAATTTGTCTTCATCTGTCACATGTCATTTTATTTCTGTTTGTTTAGAGAAGATGCCCCACTAGAGGCTCCAACAGTCTTTCATCACATATGATAATAAGTTTTCTGAGGGACGTGTAGGGTTCCACAACCAGAGGGCTTGACAATGGCACTCTCGTTCATTCACTTTGTCTCTTACAGCAGGCATGTGTATGAGTGATTTTATAGCTGTGTCAAATATCTTTCATTGACTCCTTCCAATCCATTTTTCACCCCTTTTACTCTCCTCTGTGCCCTGGGTGACTGACCTCAATGGTCTACACTCCACCCAAGAGCTCCCTCGACTGTCAGCTTCTGGTTGGTTCCAATTTATGGGACAACCAGTGGCTATGTTGCCTAACAGACACCTCCAAAAATATAAGTAATCAATCCCATCATGGTAGAGATAATGCTTTAACAGCGAGTTAAATAGTAATTGCTTTTAAAAAGAATCTCATGCTATGGAGGCCACATTTTGAAAAGGAATTTTAGGAATGATTTTTACTATGATTTTTTTTTTGGTAACTAAAACAGTATAAGTAAACCTGTCATCTTTAAAAACACATCTCATATGCTGATATCTAGAAAATATTAAAACAGAATTTTCTGACATGCTTAAAAATATTTCAGGGAATTTGAAGTGCCTTTGTTAAACATGAACTAGTCAATCTTTTGATTACTTTGAAAGAACTACTAAATGACATCAAGGAAATTTAATTGCACAAGTAAAATTTCAACTAAGTCATTGTGAAAATTTGTGAACAGGATTGAAAACTGAGTATCATGATTTTCTTTGGTGCAAACAAATAAATATTTCTTTCATTTGGTTCTACCTCTGATTATGAGGGGTCTTTTTCAGCTGTGACAGCTACTAAATGCAAGTATTAAAATAAACTGAACTTCTCAACAGACATTTTAATTACTTCAACAAAAGATTTTAAACCAAGATTTTCAAAAATGTAAGTTTCAAAATAAAAAGGTAATACAAAATAAAAAAAATTAAGATGGAACGAACCTGGTTGGTTCCCTTAATCACTGAGTAGTATGTCACTTATCATACACCCACATTAATGTGTAATGTGAATAAAAATAAGCCTTAGTATATTAAGGCACTGAGATTTTAGTTACAGCAGCTCTCCTAACTTGACAAGTACAGAAATTGGTACTTTGACATGTACTGCTGTTGTAACAAAACCCAGGAATAAGAAGCGCTGGTTAGTGACTGGCCAGCAGCAGGTGACAATACAATAGAGCAGGCTGAATGTCTGGAGATTTCTGCTGAACCTCAGCAAATTCTCAGTGAAGCTGTCATGGGAGGACCTGGAAGGCAGATCACATATCTACTGAGCCTATAGCTCTAGGGGAAGTAGTTGGAACTGTCAGTGAGATCGTGTGTTGGCTGCTACTTAAGTAAGGGAGACATGCACGCAGGTGAGTGTGGGTGGATTTTCAAGCAGAAATTGGCACGAGTAGAAAGTTCAGGGATCAAGGGCCTCCCATGGTTGAAGAGTTGATAGCTTTGGGACCTGAAATTAAAAAAAAAGAATCCTGAATGACAAAAGGGCCAGTGAGATTTCTCAAACAACTCAGACCCTCAGTAAACATTAGATTAAGAGAAGTGTTTTTCCACCTTAGCATATTTTTTTTCATATTGCCTGAAGGTACCTGCCATTAAGTTGAAGGAAAAACATGGGGATCAGGAAACAATTAGGCAAATTTAATAACTATTTAAAAACCTTGGCACATGGAACTAACTGGAAGCAAATAGATCAAAACTTACTGAAAAAAAAATTAAAAAGAAATTGAAGTGCCAAAGAAACCTTGAGTCAGGGATAAAAAAGGGCCTTAAAATGACCCTGGGGCAGGAAGAGAGAGATGCATACTGCACAATCCACAAAGAGAATATTCCTCAACAACCATTCTAGATATTTCTGTGAAGATAACGGTTAAGGGAGAAACTCAGAGAGAGGAGCCAAGGGCCACAGACAGAAGAATCAGGGACAGGACAAGAAACTATCTTCATCTCGGGTAGTCACCCTTCACAGTGTTGACTCAGAAGGATTTACAAATGTCTATGGGTCATTGTTCGCTATGTGTATTCTAGTCTTCCCTTTTCTGATTGGAAGCTTGTACTGCAGTTATACTGGACCCAGAGAAGGCTACATAATTTGTGGGGTCCAGTGCAAAATGAAAATGATGTGGGGCCCCTTGTTCAATAAGTAGGGGAAAGTTGCCACCAAACACAGTAAAATAAAGTCTTATCCTTTCTTTTATAGTATATGTTTGACTTATCACGGTATTTTATACTTGCTACTTGATGTCATTCTAAGCAAAGAAATATTTAACTTTACTATTTATCTTTTTATTGTGCAATGCCAGTTTTAAATGGAAATATAAGAGCATTTAACTCAAATGTGGAATTACTGAAATTACACATTTGCCATTTTGTGGCTCGAACATGCATATGCATTTTGTTCTTATCAGAACAGTAGAAATGCTGCATACAACTAATTGAACTGTTTTTATTTTTCTTCTTGATGTGTGTGCATTCTTTTAATTCTCTATCTTTGGCTTACAGATGAGTAAGAAAGGAATGAAAGAAGAAATTACAGTTGCTCTATCTTTCCATTTCCTGCTATGACATCATTTCAGTGTAAGTGGCTGGCTAATAAGGCAAAGGTAGCACAAGAAAGAAGGATATAATAAGAGTTCCTTGCTCTTTTGGGTTTCTTAGACTGTCACGGCTTTCTTTTTGTGTTCAAAGCCAGTTTTTGGTTCAAATGGAAAAGGTAATCTCTCAGGGCTGTCAGTGCTCTGCTGTCATAGCTATCACATGCTTTCCTGGTACTCACAGTCTTGCTAAGAGCATCAGAGGTCCGTAGGAACTCTGCTCCCGGGCAACACAAACACTATATGTGGGACAAAGGACACACATATTGCATGTACCTGCTCCGCTCATGCGCATGCTTCGTGATCCCACGGGTCTTCACTTAAAAAACACAAGGTCAAAGATAAAATTGTTAGGGACTTTATGACAGTGAGAGCCAAGCATTAAACCAATTGGAGGGGCCCATCTGACTGTGAGAGCCTGTGCAACTGCTCACCTGTAGCCAGCCTTGACTGGCCCTGAGAGGGCTGCAACAGGTACAAGCCTGCAAATCCTGGACTTTGAGCTAGATTCAGGGACTGCATTGGGGCCTTGGATGATCTCACTTAGGGAGGGGGTAAGTTTTTTATGTGGGAAAAGAGTGAAATGGATTTTTTGGTGAATAAAAAGATACATTATTGTACTCACCAGAGCCTAGTTAGGTATGCTGTTTGAATGAGTCTGTCATGTGGTAGAGTGTGGGCAGAAGGGATGTACAGCAGTTCCGTGCCTGGCCAATGGAAACTTCCCCCATGATCCTCTTCTCTCTTCCTTCCCTTGTCTTCCAGGTAGATGCAGAAAAGCCTGCAGAGGACTCCAGTCTCCCAAAGGGATGGTTGAGCAATTTTACAAAGGTCCTGAATCTCACTAAAGGTTTTGAAAAACAGAAGACGTTCTAATGTGTTAAGTCACTGAGATATGTGTGTGCTTGTTTATTACGAATGTTACCTTCTTCTGAATAGAAGAAACTTCCACCCTCATAATAAGCTATTTTTAACTCAGGGACTTATCATTATGGGGGCTTAAGTGGCAACAGGACAAGTCAAGTTAAGGATGTCAGCTGACCTTAGAAATTAAACAGGCATAAGGGATACGTCAGGGATGTGAAGGAGAATTGGGTGATGGGAATCATTGTGTCTAGGGAGCCACTGGTTGATTAGAAAACCTGGGAACAGGGCTAGACATGGACGTGTATGTTAAATAGCTATAGTTTTCAAGTTGGTGGGCCACGGTGCCTGGGGGTGAAGGGTGGGGGTCAAGATTTGTAAAAAATCAATGTTATAGTCTCTCAGAGGTCTTCAGTGATACCTAAGCATCACCCTGACCCCCATTCATTTATTTCCTTCCTGACACATATTAATACACATTTTCATTATACATTTATTTGCTGAATTATTTCTTCACTGCTTTACCCAGTATAATGCGTTTCATAAGGTCAACGTTGTCAGTTTTATCAACCCTGGTGTCTAACAGAGCATTTGGCACTGAATGAATACATGAATACATATATGAATAAATGCATAAAGTTGCTCAATCATAGGCCATTTAACACTTTAGATGCTCTTTAATTGGTTCCTGTCTTGTCCCCTGGTACCACATGAATTGCTCTCCTGTCTGAGCTGTCTTTCTTGACTAGGTCCCTGATTCATGTAGTTGGACCCCTACAATATTGCCCACACCCCTGCTTAGACCTCTGCCATTTTGACCTTTGCCCAACACCTGCCCCACCTCTGCTTAGGCCTTCTTCCCTTGATTCGGATGCTTTGTCCTTAGTACCTGGGCTCATCTTCTCATTCCTGATCTATCTTCAGATTCACAATTTTATGTGTTTGTCATCAGTAAAACTTGACACTTGCTTCATATCCAGGTCTATGATCACGTATCTCATCACTGCCATTCTGATCCAAGTGCACCGAGATAGCAGCTGCCTCTGAGCTCTTTCTGTCTCTCCAAATTTCCTTAGGATTCAACATAGAACAGGCTACTCACACTCAGCTCACCAACTATCCTGAACGAATGTGGCTCATTTCAAACATGCACACATTTTAAAATACAATGGAACTGTTTAAATAAGAGGGGAAGTGATTTAAATAAAAATATTTCAGTAGTCCTGAAAGAAAATGTGATACCAAGCATCAGCCATTAATCTCAAAGAAAGGCTTAGGAGGTCAGGGATTGCGTGTGTGCTACCTTACATCACACACAGTCCCAATACTGTGCTATGCACATAGCAAGTACTCAATAAATATTTCCTTATGGGTTGCTTGGTTATTGTGACTGAAACGTCATAATTTTGACAAGTATTGATGTAGCAGAACACGCCACAAAGCCTGTTCCTAGTTCCAGTCTTCTTTAGCAGCCTTGGCTCACTGTCCAAATGATTATGTTCCGAGGTCTCTCAGAGCCACATTTCATCACAGGAGTGACAGCGCTGAAGTGACTGAGTAAATGTAGTGCCTGTTCATAAAATAATTTCAAGTAAAGGCTTCAAGATCCTTACAGCTGTTATTCAAGTCTATAGCATTATTTACTGTAGAACATATAACACCAATGTCTCATATATTTCCTCCCTCGTTGAACTTACACCAGCAAGCCATGTGACAGGGCACTGACCTACGATCAAGTTGGTCACTCAGAATTTGTTTCCTCAAGCATTCTATTCTTTCTCTAGATTGTGGATAACTGAAATTGACAGTCTCATGGAGTTTAAGGGAAGTCAATGCATTAGGCTACAGTTTTGCTTCTTTGAAATGAACAGGCCACATGTGGTGGTTGCAGAAAACTGGGACGTTACTATGTACGAGTATCTGTTTTGATATAAACAATTTGATGCTGCTGACAGTCCGTAACTTTTTATTAAAAAAAAAAAAGCTAAACTGGTTGCCATGGAAATGATTATGATGTCACAGAGGATGATGACTTCTCATAATCTATAAGCAGCAAGAGCAGATGTGCTTGTAAGAAACAAAGATCTTGTTTTCATACAAATGTTCTCAAAATAAAACACAAAGGAAGCTACCCAGAGCACATAATGCAAAGAAAAAAATTGCTTCTAAATAGAGTGTTTTACAAAGTTTTCCATAAAGCCTCAGCTGCTCCTCAAAGAACAACCAGCTTGAACATGGAGAGCAGACGTGAAATTACAGTGCTCACAAAATTAGTATTCAGGTTGCACAGTCTCTCCTTTCAAAGGCTTCAAGCATACTTTATACATGCACAATTATAGAAGCAGGTAATGAGAGATTCTGATTTCCCCCTATTGTTGTTATTGTACTCAGCGAGATAAGGTTTGATAAAATTGCTTTGTTAAAAATAAATCTAAGCAACAACTTATTAATTCTATTGAAAAGATCTTTTGGCTTTTATTATAAGATGCATTGGATAATTTTTCTAAAACACACATTATTCTGTCCATAGAGATGGGTAGCAACATATCAACTTTTAGTAAAGAATCAAAGCTCAGTGACAATTAATAATCTGCAAGCTATAGTAATTTTTTACAATTTTATTATTTCACATCACAATTAATTGTACTTCAATTATTAGAGATTTTAAAAAAGGATAGTCAAAGTTTATGACTACGACCTCCTGAAATGCATAGATAAGATAAACAATATATCAAATGAATGGGTTGTGTCAAAATATACGAGTGCTTTCATTACATCACCTTAAATTTAATCCTTACTTTGATGGTCATTTGACGATACTCTTCTAAGTTAATTCTTTAGATTCTCAATATCACCCACAGAAACCTCAAAGATTTCTTAGAATTAATCAAAGGTTAAATAATAAAATTTAATTATAATGAAGTTCTCACTCCCTGCAGAATAAAAACCTCTCCATCCAACTTACAACATGTATTTGCCAATAAAAATTTTAAATTCCTATATACCTAAATGAGAGATATGAACTAAGTGGAAAGGAGATAAACTAAAAATTCTGACAATTCCGACAATTCCTAAGAGATATTGCTCCTAAAGAAACCTACTATAAAACAATATTTTAAATGAAAACAAAAGATACACTGATAAAGATAAAATACATTGGGCTAGAATCCTGCATTACTATTAAGTGGTAGCATATACATTTTATTTTACTTTCAATTTAATGTCCGAATTAATTAAGCATTTTCAATTAAATGAAAATTGACTTTGAGAAATGTAAAATACTAGAGTTATATAAAAGAAAACCAAATAAACATAAAAGAGTAAAAATTAAAAGTTCCCTAATCTCTAGTCTGAGTTAAAATAAATTGAGACTAAGTAACAGGTGTTTCTGAAAGCTAGACTTTAATCCTAGTTTTAGTTCTGTGATCAGATTGAAGTCATATACTATTTTAAGACATAAGCTCACTTTTTTAAAGTGCATAATATGAATACAGTATTCAAAATGCATACCAGTGTTTGCAGTATATAGAGAGAACTGAAATACAATGATACTATAACTTCTAAAAAAAGAGGACCGAAATCACTTAAGAGATGGGCTTTTTATAAACACTACAAAGATTTAAACAAATCAAAGAGATGTTTGTTAAAAAGTGTAAAAGACAGTAATAGCTTAGTTGAATTAGCCGAAGTGTGAAGGCCTTAAAAGGAAAAAAAAAAAAGAAAGAGCATAAATATTTGAAAATAGAAAAAGACAGAAGAAACTGCATTAAAAGTGTTTTTTAATCATGAATGACTATACAACATTGGAATATTTTATACTATTTTATTGATGAAGGAGTCCATCTCTATGATAATTTTTATTAACAAAGATAGTAGTACCAAATCTGTGTTAAGACTTAAGAACATTGTAAAAAATGACCCAGTCTTTCTCCAAAATTGCTCCTATATAGTAAGGAAGATAAGACATGCATGCCTGAAAAAATATATTTTATTGTGAGCTACATGAAAACATTACTGATGTAGATAGTAGGTGCTAAATGAACCTAAATGGAATTACAAAGCATGTATTTATAATGTATGGTAGCAACATAGTTCAGGGGCACAAATATAAAATGTGGCTCAATGATTCAACAGAACTAAAGCAGCTTATAATGTTATAGAATATGTTGTCTTTTCATATACAAATATTTTTGTCTATAGCTTTTTTTGCTTAAGTCAAAAATTTCCATTTTAAAGACTCCCAAGTAGGGTGAACAAAAACCGGACAATTTTTAGTCTTTGGGAGGGATATCTTAGTTTGCAAATTGCTGTAAACCTTGCACCCCCTAAATGAGAGTGGGTTAATTTAGCTGTTTGTTGCTATGTGAGGTTTTCTTAGAAATGACACAGATGCTCTAATTTACAGTTGGCTGAGGTCTGTATAAAAAATATGAATCTGACATATTTTATTAGGAAGATTACATTTTGAAGAGCAAGCATGAGAAATGGGTATTCCAATCCAGGTGGCAGAGAATATGCTTATTTTTCTGATTTTTCTTTTTAAAAAATGAAAAAAAAAAACGGTAAAAAAAGTGAGGAGAAAATCAATTGAAAAATAAGTTATGAATCTATGGTCAGCTTTTATGACACTACAATAATTAACAGTACAACGGCAATCACACCAATTCAAGAATGTCCTTTGTAAAACTGCTTTTGAGAAAGTTTTTTGCTTGCTTAATTTATTAAAGAAACATGATATAATGCTGACCACGGTGTAGGGCTGTTGTCACCCTTGATTTGACCAGTTACCAATATTAGCTCATTTAATCCTTAATTAAAAAAATATGAGGTAAGTTCTATTGTAACTTTCCAGTTTTAACAGATAAGGAAACAAGATTAAGAAATTGTACAACTGTTAGTAACAGTAATTGTTAGAGCTGGGATTGTCCCTAGGCCTTCTAGAGTGAAGGCTTTTAATCACTATACTACCAATGAGACTTTTGTCAGTATCACCTGGATCAAATTCCTCTTTGAGCATTAAGCTGGGAAATTTTGTGTCTGTGTTTGCACTGATGATTTCATAGGCTTCCTAGACAATTAGAGCAATTAGTGTGTTTCCTTTTTTGCCTGGTTGCTAAGCTTTGTATTTAACTGTGGCTTTTTCATAACCAGATTTTTTTTTTATTCCAAAATAGAGATTTGTTAAGAATTATTTAGTTTCTGCATAAAAATCACCAGTTATTCCTCAGAGGATTTTTAACACACATCAATTTTGGGGGGGTTCCTCTATTAATCCCGACATTTAAAAAAACACAGCTCCTTTTAGTGGCAGGAAGGACAGTCAAGGCAGCCAGGCGTTTCCTTGGGTGTCAGCCTCTGGAGGGATTCCTTGTTCCACACCTTGAGAGAATACATGATGGCTAGTTTCTTAGGTTGGAAAAGCTGTCCCTGAAAAAAATAATTATGCAGAAGAGTGCAAGTCATCTCGAGTCAATGATTTGTGCCTGGTAGCTTTAAAATAAAATCCCCTTGGTCATGGTTATCAAAGGCTTGCTGGTTGTTTTCAGCTATAAAAAACTGTCTTGAAAAAAGACAGTAAGAAAGAGCAGGGTCTGTAATGACAGTGCTGTCAGGCTGGGCTGGGCGACCTCATGAGAACACACACCAGTATGCTTAAAAACAAAAAATCCCACAATAGGGGTCCTGTATAATTTCAACTCCAACTCCTCTTGGTCCTTAAAATACCCAAAACATCACTGAGCCAGATCCTGAGAAGTACAAGTGCTTATTTTTAAAGTGAGGTGTATGATATAGCTTTCTCAAGTGTCATGTTCTGCATGGAGGGAAAACCCCCCAAAATCCCTAGGACCTGATTAGCAATATTGATTTTTATCACACTGCAATTAAGGTATAAAGTCAGTCTGTGCTGTTGTGAAACTCAATGGTGATTCGGAAGTAGGACCCTTATTTACTGCTCCATTAGGGAAAGGCCCAAGAAATGACTTAAAAAGCCAGGGCCGTCAGACTCTGGGCCACTCTGGGGGTCGCAGGCAGGCCAGGGGCAGCCCACTCGATTCACAGTGATTCAGGTT